GGAAGTTTTAAGTATACCTAGTAAGAGCTTGATTAGCTGGTTCAGGTGTGTTTGATTATCGTTGGAGCTAAACTCTGCAGGACACCTGCCCTGCAGGAGTGAGTTTGGTGACCCCTGCCTTATCGTCTGTCAGCAGCATTTATCCATGATGGTCAATTAAATTATAATACTGCCTTATCCACCTTATCTTGCAACGTGGAAGGTAAATGATGACTAAATGACTAAAAGAATAACATAGTGCAGTAAACTGAAAAAACTATTTGCATTACAAACCTGATGACTGCTGAACATCATAATATTGGGAAGATGCCAATTCCATTATTACACATTACAGTTGCTATGATCCATTTAATTCTTACAGTGGTACAGCCCCCCATAATTATGCAGGTCAAAGACAAGCAGGAGGTAAAAGTCAAGCGTATCCCACTGTTAATATGCAGCTACAGGCATCACCAGGGGAACTTGTGGAAGTTCACACTTTGCACTTGGACAGGCCTATACAGGCCACAGATGACCGGTTGCCATGGAAACGTCTGTGCCCTTTGAAATCAGGTTATTCAAAATATTCCACTCCAACTTGATATAAATTATACATTTTAGCCTAGATTTCAAACATGAAATAATAATTTCATTCAGGGGAGACATACCAAGCAATTTAACTACACTCACATGATCAAAATGCTTCATAATTTCTGCCTCTTTGAGGGAGGACTCCAGATCTTCTTTACTGGGGACTACATCTACAATTCAACAGGATATTTAATGGCATTACAGCAAGAAAGCGGTTGATTTAATTAACTGTGTAAATTGCATTGTCTCAAGCTAGTACTTAATTCTAGATTAAGATCATACTTTTTAACTTATCAGAATCGTATATTTTACTGTCACTTGCTCTCTGCATTATATACACTATATAGCTTGAAATGTTTTTACTGCCACTCTGATGTCTTGTCCTCTTTGAGGGGAAAATATGCCCTCGTAGACGACCCCAAATTCTCCTGCAGATTTGCAGAATGCAAAATGACAATCAAAATACTGTTTTCAGTCAAATTATTCCTTATTAAATTATACCTTTTTTAAAATTACTTAATATAATTTTAAAACAGCTATTAAATGATCACTTCATGTATGGGTAACATATGCATACAATTTCCAAATACCAATTTAGGTTATGCATGCTTATATTCATATACATCTATATAAAATTTCCTATTTATTATTTAAAAAATGTATATTAAGTACACAATTTTGTCTAAAATGTATTTGAATGTACTGTGTATGGGAAAGCGTACACTACCAATCAAAAGTTTGGATCGGTATAATCTTTTTTTGTTGTTGTTTTCTATTTGAATATGTTTTAATTTTATGGAATATATTTTTACATTTGATATTGTTTTAAAATTGTATATTTTAAAAGAGATTTTTTTGTAAACATTTTATATATATTATGTAATTTATTCCTCTGATGGCAAAGCTTCAGCATCATTACTCCAGTCTTCGTTGTCACGTGCTCTTTCTAATATGCTGATTTGCTCCTCAAGAAACATTTCATATTATTATCAATGTTGATATTTTTGTGGAAACTGGATTCATTTTTTAAAACAGGACTCTCCAATAAAAAATAATGGATGCATTTCAACCTTTTCAAAAGTATGTTTTTTTTTTCTGTGCAGACAAATTTGCAAGACCCATAAAAAAAAGATCAGTGTGACAGTTTGTTTATACCTTTTCCAAGCTTCTGGCCCATTGTCAACTTTGTACGTTCCCCCATCACATCTCTAAGATCACACAGCAGCCTTTCACTCATCCCTTCCAACATCTCAACTGAGCCTGACAGAGACAGAGACATGGTAAAAATGGAGAGTGAGGGTCGAGAATAATGTACTTTTTAAGTAACTAAAAATTTAAAATGTATTAAAATATCACATGTATCTCAAAATGTCCGAGGGCCTGCTATCAGAAGTCAGAATAATTCTCACAAAGTTAATATATCCACATTTTTTGTGGATATATTACATAGATATAAAGAGGCTCCTGGTCCTCTTGGGCAAAACGTAGGTGCAGTAGAAGCTCTTGGGCATCTTGTTTAGGGATCCAGTTGGTCCATAATGTTTTGGGATCCTTATTCAATTCCGGGTTACAAGCTTGGTAGACAGCGTGTGCATAGTCCTTTCCAAGCTGCATTCATGCTTCCTTCCACTTACATTGACCAAAAGAGAAGCAAATCATTATTTTGATTCATTATTCAAATGTTAATTATTCAAATTTACCAGTATTAAACAATACATCTGTTAACCTGTTTTATTTGTTTATTATCTGTATAACTATTTTTTTTAAGAGTAGACTATACGTTTTTTTTTCAGCAAGAAAGCATTAAATTGATTAAAAGAAAATAACATTAAAGACATTTATAATGCTATAAAACATGTAATGTTATAATGTTATACATAAACGCTGTTGAAATTTCTACATTTCTACAAAAAATGTATCACGGTTTCCACAGAAATATTAAGCAGGACAGCTGTTTTCAACATTGATAATAATAAGAAATGTTTCTTGATCAGCAAATCAGCATATTAGAATGATTTCTGAAGGATCATGTGACACTGAAGACTGGATAATGATGCTGAAAATTCAGATTTGCTATCACAGTACTAAATTGCCACTTTAAAATATTAATTAAAAAATTTAATAAAAACATAAATAGAAACAAAATATAGGATTCCCCCCCCTGTAAAAAATAAGTGTAATTTTTACTGTAAAATTTTGTAAAAACGCTATGAAAAAAACTGTTAACAGTAAGTTCCCGTACTATATACAGGGACACTTCATGTAATTTTACTTCTAAATGCTGTTAATTTGACGCTATCACAGTACTAAATTGCCACTTTAAAATATTAATTAAAAAATTTAATAAAAACATAGATAGAAACAAAATATAGGATTCCCTCCCCCCCCCGGTTTCTCAAACACTGTTTTACCGAACTCTTATAAGAGACTTTCTTCAAAAACGTTTGAACAATAGTGTATTTATATCAAATAAACAATTAATAATAAAAATGTAATTATGAACACTGCTAATTCTGGGAAATGGATCAATGAATTAACCTTTTTTTTTTTTTAAGAAAATATCTAGCCTATTATTAAACATAATAAACTTTAGGTAACAGACTTTCTTTGTTAAAGTCATTGTTTGTATTCATGTGGAACACAAAGACTTTAATGTGTGATTATTATATTAAAGAAACTGCCACTTAACAGCTTTTGATGCTGAGAGTAGTAGGCTGCGCTGTTTACTTGAATCAAAGATTTCGTCTGAAATTAAACGCACTTTTATAGTGGTTTATTACATTTCCATCCTATAATAGAAGCACACTCCTCAGTCTTACCTCTGATTGCACTGTAAAAAATAAGTGTAATTTTTACTGTAAAATTTTGTAAAAACGCTACAAAAAAACTGTTAATAGGTTAACAGTAAGTTCCCGTACTATATACAGGGACACTTCATGTAATTTTACTTCTAAAAACTGTCAAATTAACAGCATTTTACTGTAAAATTACATGAAGTGTCCCTGTATATAGTACGGGAACTTACTGTTAACAGCTTTTTTCGTAGCGTTTTTACAAAATTGTACAGTAAAAATTACACTTATTTTTTATAGTGCAATCAGAGGTAAGACTGAGGAGTGTGCTTCTATTATAGGATGGAAATGCCCTACAAATTGTAATGCGTTACACTACTTTTGAGTTACTTCCACCAAAATATCCACAGAAGTATTATAAAATGCCAAAATGTAGTTTATTGCTGCTCACATCCAGTGGAGGATAATGTGGTAGGTCTATATAGCATAAAATTATAAACAAAAATACCCCCAGGATTTCCTATATGTTCCTGTTTTTTTGGTGTCACTTTCATTAACACTGAAAAATAAACATTAAAAAACTAAATAATTATAATCATAATAAATAAATAATAAAAATTGCCTAATATGTGGCCAAACAATTGATATTATGGGGAGGGGTCAAGCTACACAAGCAAGCAATGCGCAAACTGTGCGCAAGATTTATGTCAATTCACTTTAGAGAAAGTGAAAGTAAAAAAACTGACTGCGCGTTCTAACGCTGCATTAATGGCGCATATTGTACAACGAGAGACAATTGTATAAATTAATAGACCTGTTAAAAAAAAAACTTTTTAAAAACAATAAGTAAATACATTTTCAATAAGGAGTAAGCTAATAGCCTAAATTGTAATTATCCTCACAGCGCGTCATGCGGTTTTTGATGCGTTGTTTTGACAATATCTCTGGCTATTGTTCACACATGATACAACGCATCTCCGTTTCCGCAGTCATCTCAACCAAATTCCAGCAACAGGAAATAGAGACTATTTTACCCGCAGATTTGTTTTCTCTGGTGCTGTTTTGCGGTGTTGGTAAATTCACCACTTAATTTTGAGTTAAAATATGTTGTTGTAACTTGCGTTACTGGGATTGTAACGAGTAATATTACCCACATTTTATTAGTAATGCATTATATTACTGCGTTACAGCAAAAAGTAATACACTACTGTAATATCGTTACTTTTGTAATGCGTTACTCCCAGCACTGCTGATGACCACATATTTCCTTTAAAACAAAACTGCTAAATACTTGTAAACACACACTATTGTACATTTCTCTTCAACAACCACCAGGTTGGATGCAATTAAGAATTTGAAAACAATTTTATTTCCCAAAGACATGTCAGCTGTAGTGTGTTAGCTGACATCAGGACTTTCCAAAAGCAATTCACTGTCAAATAATGACATTTCAAACAGTGTAAACAGGGCCAAAGATAATATCAAATCAAATAGTTGAGTCTCTAAACAACCAGTCACTCAAAATAGCTATCACACACACACACACACACATTCTTCTGAACTGCTGAGAGTAAATTTGCGTCTGTATTCTGTCCCATACATGGATGAAAGATGTTATATAAATACAATAAAAATACATTTTCAATCAGGTATTTTAAAATAAAATGCTAACACTCAAAGTTCATGCGCATACTCTATTTGACAGATTCTATGCATTTTCCATGTTCTGTGATATTGGCTACGTTCACACTGTCAGTTTTTTGGGATTGACAACCACATTTACTTACAGGTGTGAGTCTCGAAATGTCACATTCACACAGCAACTTACAGTAGCTTCTCGGATACTGTCTGTATGAATGTGCAGCGGGAGTCAAACCCGTATTCCTTACCAGTTACCATAGCGACAGTGACCAAAGAAATGTAAAAAATGGCGACGTCCATAAAACTGAAAGTGTTATCACTTTCTGACACGACAAGAGTCCAATCGAGCCACAAGTTCATTCATCAAATCATCATGAACTGACAGCAGCTTTTATATTTGGGAGGAGAGCGGAGCATTTTAGTCGTGCACAGAACACTCTAAATAACCGCCCTGTGCGTGAACGTAACCGTATTAAGGACTCAAATACAGGACTGACAACTATTCTGCTGCTGTGTGAGCATGGCCATTAAAGCAGGGCTCTTCAAACAGAACAGGCAACCACTGTAACATTACTTGGAGAAGCATCATTGGGATCATATTGTGCAAACGATATCCATAACTAAAAGGTTGCCTTAATGGAGAAATTTTGTGCAAAAATGTTTATTTTCTCCCATGCTTTTGTGCTGTTTTGTCTGCTTGTTAGGTTGCATAACAGAACATAATCTCCTTGTAACACAGCAGTGTCATTTAAAACTGAATGCTCCTTCTTTCATACTCTGAAAACTTTACTGTACTACTGTACTATTTTACATATCTTTGAGATACCATAAAATCACTGCAGCAACCAACTTGTACAAACAAGGTAAATTAGGTAATAACACTGCAAAGGCCACATGTATATGATTTTTTACTGAAAATGTCAAACAAGAACTGACCATTACAACTGTCTATTTCACTTTTTCAGACAAATGTTCTGAAACTAAAAATGTCTCTAAAAGAAGACGGACTGAGAATTCATCTAGTCACAATCTCCTCGTCATTTGTTGTGATATGGTCCACACACACACCTCACTAGTCCGTCAGCACAGTGTTTAACGGGGGACGGTCCTGTATAAAAGCAGGTGCACAGGATCCCTCACTGTAACACACACTTCTCTTTCCGACTTCCATATTTCCTGCGCCTCATTTCTAGTCCTCTCTCCAACCTCTCGTCCTCTTCAAGAGCCCTTGGGAATGAGATGACAGAGAAAGAGTAAGAAAAAGAGAGTAAGTCAGTTGTGGTTGACCATAGAAATGAATGTTTCTGTAAGACTCTTATGCTCACCAAGGCTGCATTTATTTGATCAAAAATACAGGAGAAAGGCTACTATTGTGAAATATTATTATAATTTCAAATATCAGCTTTCAATTTGAATATATTTTAAAATGTAATTTATTCCTGTGATGCAAAGCTGAATTTTCAGCAGCCATTACTCCAGTGTCACATGGTCTTTCAGAAATCATTCTAATATGCTGATTTGCTGCTCAAGAAACATTTAAATTCTGGTCTAAAAAAAAGTATAGAGTATATTTTGTAATGTGAATGAATCTCACCCTCTCTCTTTGGCGTCTATATCATGCACAAGCTCGTCTCTCTGGTTGACTAAAGACACCAGCTCCTGCAACAACAGCTGCTCTCTGGTTTTATGGGCCTGGGTTTTCTTCCATTCTTCAGTTTTACAAAACAAGCAAGACCAAAATTTGAGGATAATGAGAGATTGCCACATGCCCCAACTGATTAAACTACTTGATGAGTGCCAAAACATCTTTAATATGTAAAAACACATGCATATGCTCCTAATTACATGTGTGCATTTTCTGGAATTCCTAGTGATATAGTTCTCCATTTCACATATATTTATGTAAGAACAGTCGTACCTTCCACAGCCATTAAATCTTGAAGCTCTTTCTTTAGCAGCTCAAACCTCCTCTCCAAATCTTGCTCTTCTTGTCTATCACACAGAAGGAATGATAATTAGCAATGTATCTTAAATCAGCCACTGTTCAAATGAGAGGTCATCATCTAAATGAGTACAGTGAAACACAAAGTAAGTGAGTATAAGTGTGAAAAGACATACAGTGACTGCAGATGGTCTTGTCTCCTGATCAAAGCGTTCTTCTTGTTGACCAGGGTAAACCACTCCTGAATCAGTGTCTCTTCTTCTACACGATCACTACCTGTAAGTGTACGATAAGAGCACAACTTCATCACGACATACATAATGAACTGTATTGTCATTTGCTTAGCACAATGCATCATAATCTATGATCTATGTATGTGTGTGTATATTTAGTGCAGGGCGATATAACGGTTCAAATGGTAAACCGGTTAGAATTACGCACACGGTGTGAATAAAAAAAAAAACGGTTAGAATTATGCACACCTTGTGTGAATTTAAAAAAAAACAGCATACCAGTACAAGTGGCTAAGCAACAGACAGTGCCACCTGCTGTCAGAGAGTGAATTTGCATTCTCACGCAGCCCGTCTGCAGTTTCTGTTATATTCTGTTTCTGATTGTTTTATTTAGCATAATTTCACATAGCTAAGGTCAGACCATTCTGTTTTTGCTTTCAATTTTGAAATTATACAATCTACTTTACATCAAAAACTGCTCCTACTATAATGTCGCATGTTTGTTTGGATCGTGAACTGTTTCATGCAATCTGATTCATATAAAGGCACAGTCAGGGACAAACCATGAAACCTCCAGAATCCTAAAAAAAACATGATACAGAACTTCGGTCATACAGCCCAGCACTACTATTTCTTTATTTAATAGGTTAATATATTACGGGAGGCAGGATGCAAGAGTTCAAGCGTAAGCTTTCATTTGTTGCTTGATAAAAATAGGTTCTCAAACTACTTTAATCAGTGATTTACCAGATTCCAAAAGTCTTCTCAGTTTCCTCTCCACAATGTCTGCTCTGCGATCTATCTGCTTCTGTTCAGCCTCCAGCGCCTGCATCTCACTAAGTACATATTGGCTGCCATCCTGCAAATACACAATACACATGCAAATACTCACACCCATATATACGCATTTTACAACCCTATCAAATATTGGTTTGGAGTTAGTTTACTATAAAATACTATTACATATTATTTCAACTGACTTGAGTCATCAAGCCACAAATAGAAAAGCGTTGAATGACCTGATTCCCTCCTGCAGTGGCCTCTCCAACATTCTCTACATTTTCTACACAAACAAGACAGAAGAACAATACGTCTGAATCCGATCATTTAAATGCATGCAATAGTTTACAACAGTTTACAATAACGTACAACCCAAAAATAATTTTCATAATTTCTTCTATTCTGCAGAAAATATGTTCAGCATAAGTTATGGATTTAACACGTCAGTGTCTTTGAACATAAAGTCTTTGAAAGGTGAGTTTTGAGTTAATTCTTACGTGACTCTGAACCTCCTTTGGCTGCTTCACTGTCTGCTTGGACTGATGCAGCCTGGGTAAAAAACATTATAATACACGGCAGCTCAGTAATATACTACTGTTTATAAAGTTAACTCAGTTATAAGAACATTTTAAAATAATCATCCTCACAAAGGAGACAATAATACAGTGCTCTGCATAATACAACCCAGTTCCAAAAACATTATCTCTCTCGTGACACATGAATCACACGTTCAAAAACATCCATTTTGCACTGTAAACAAGGGCCATCACAACACGCCAATACAGTCACACATGCCGGGTCCTGAGGTTTATATAATGATCCTGAATACTGTACAGGTTCGGTTAAAATGAGTTTCATGAAAAATACATGAAACTTAAGAGAGCACAGGCCATTTACAATTCACATTTCACTCATTATATTCTTTTAGGGTTGGACAGCTGTGTGATAATATTAAAGGTACATTACAGACAACATTTAAAATATTTATCTTTATGCATTATAGTTATTATTAACAATTTTGTGTGTGTGTTTCAAACTAGTCTTCAAGCACTGACCATACTATTAAATTTAAGACTAATAACATTCAATATCACATTACTGGTCAAAAGTTTGGTATAATTACAATTTTTTTCAATGTTTTTGAAAGAAGTCTCTTATGCTCACCAAGGCTGCATTTAATAATTCCAAAATACAGAAAAACACTAATATCGTGAAATATTATTACAATATAAAATAACTGTTTTCTATTTGAATATATTTTAAAATGAATGTATGATTTCTGAAGGATCATGTGACACTGAAGACTGGAATAATGGCTGCTGAAAATTCAGCTTTGCCATCACAGGAATAAATTATATATTCAAATATATTCAAATGTTCAAATAAATTCAGCCTTGGTGAGCATAAGAAACTTCTTTCAAAAACTATGGTTGAAATGTTTTACCTCTGTACCACTCTGCTGTTCGTGTGGTTCAGGCTCATCCAGTGACTCTCCCCGCAGCTTGGATCTGCGCTTTTTAACAAGGTCTGCATCCTTGAGATGAGAAAAAGCCTTTCTGGGTGGTGCCACTGGAGGCTGAGCGGCCCCTGATCCTCCAGCCTGGCTTGGGCCCTGCACTCGCTTTGTTCTTGGAGGTGGCACCAAAACACCAGCACCCTTGACTTCCTTTTCAGGGAAGCTACCATTGGTCTCTAGAGTGATGCCGCTGCTCTGGAGCCTTTCGGCACAGTAGCGAACAGCGGCTTCAGGGTCGGCTTCCTCCCTCTTCTCACCAACAGCGTAACTGGACTCGCTGCTGTTCTTCTCGATCTGTATGACACTGAGCTCCTGGCCCGTGAAATAGGTGCGGATCTGGTTGAGATACGTCATCACGATGAGCCTGTCAGGCACTGCCAGCAGCACCATGTCAGAGGGCTCTATCAACCTAGAGATGCCCAGTTCAGCAAAGCCATCAAACGCCTATGAATACACAAGGAAATATAAATTTTTTCTATTTCCTGATCACAGAGTTATAATCATTAAGGCAAGTGCACAGCAAAAATGGCCTTGTAATTTTTGTTGTACAGTAAAACTTGTACATACTGTTTAGACTTAAAATATAACAACATTAAATAGGGTCAGTCAATTAGATCACAGTCAAAGGAAATTAAAAAAGAAAAAAAGTCATTATCTGATTTGAAAATGGGTGGATCACCTTCTTGTTGTTGCGTTTAATGTCATATGGATCCAGCATTTCATAATTCCTAAAGACAGAATAACAAACAAATAAACAAAATACATAACCCATGTAACATTTATGAAATGAGCTTAATGCCTTCTTCCACATAAAAAACACCCACACTTTATCTGGATGGAAGTGATGCAGGATGGCACAGAAAGCGAGGCCATTTCTCCATGAGGTGCTGAAGTTTGATATCCGGACGCCTTTGCAACCTTGTGTGACATTTTGGCACCATTCCAACAGAGACTGACTTGAATTCACCAAGGTCGCAATCTAGAATAGAAGGCAAAGACAAATTAACTACCTGCTCATTGATGCCACTATGGTAATATAATCAACATAATTAAAAAGCAGCGGATTTAGCAACCTCTGTTTCACTGGTTGGTGATGTGTGAGCTGTGGAACTTCCCTGAAGGTCTATGGCATCTGCTGCAGCTCTTCGTTGATTAAAAACAGGCACTGTGGGCTCATTATTGGGCTTTTCTGAAACCTCACTTTGACTGGCTGATGACGAACTGGGAATGGAGACGTCTTCTGGGAAAGAGGCACTTAAACGTTTCTTCACGCGAGGCATTGGCACAGGAAGACTGTTGGAATCTTCAGCTGCTGCTTGTCTAGATGAAAGAAGAAAAAAAAATTAACAAAACTGATTTCTACATTCAAATAAACCAGTATAGCAAAAGCTATTCAACTCTTATAGATTTATCACTCGAGCCTAAAAAGAAATTCATATTTAGTTTCAAGATGCATAACAAAATTAAACAAGCACCAATGTCTTCACCTTTATCATATATAATCATTTATTTTTAATTTACATTTTGTACATTTTTCATAAAGACAAACAGTTTAACCTAAAAAGCCAAATCTTTAATGAGTAAATTAACCATAAACATCAATTGTTTTTGAAAACCCAAAATCAAAGAAACAGTATTATTGGTCGAAAGACTGTTAGAGCACCTCTAGTGACCAATTACTGCACTCGTTAAAATAAAAATGGGCATGTGTAATGTCTACAAATGTGACAACAGTTTATCTACAAAAACTTACCTACACACATCTAAGATAACACCTGTGCCATCTACAACCTCAGCATCTCCAGAATGCACAGCATTCATGTCTTCCTCAATACTTGGATATTTTTCAATTTGTTGCCCTGTTCCCCCTTTGTCCTCACAATGCTCACCAAGCGGAGCACCAGTCTTGGGTTTTTCACTGATATCTGTCACATCAGTTTCTATCTGCTCAACAGGTTCTAAACAAGACTCATCCATGCCTTTTCTGTTTAGCTCTACTTCATTGGCACTTGAGGTGGTGGAATCCTCAAGACTCTCTATCCCTGCTTCTGCCCTCACCTGTGTAGCCACTTCAACAGAACATTGTTCATTTTCTGAGATAGGAAGCTTGCCTTCTTCTGAGACTGCAGAGTAAGAATCTTGAGGTAAGCGTGGAAGGTTCTCATCAGTGAACTTGTCACTGAGTTTCTCTGAGCGGGGAATCGGGACGGTCATGCTTGTTTCACTTGGTCCTCCCTCAAGGACTCCTATGTCAAGTAAATCTACAGGAGGTGGTGGACAACTTGAGGGAACAGTGAGATCATCTGGAAAAGAACCACTGAGACGTTTCTTTACACGTGGCATTGGCACTGGCAGACTTGAATTTTGATGGCCTTCTGTTTTGTTAAAAATGTTGTCTGAACCTGCTTGAGATGGAAGAGTGGATGAAGGGGTTGGAAGATCATCTGGGAAAGAACCACTGAGACGTTTCTTCACACGTGGCATTGGGACTGGAAGACATGAATCTTGATGGTCTTCTGTTTGGAGAAAAATGTTGTCTGAATCTGCTTGAGAGGAAGGGCTGGATGAAGGAGCTGGAAGATCATCTGGAAAAGAACCACTGAGACGTTTTTTTGAACGTGGCATTGGGACTGGCAGACTTGAATCTTGATGGTCGTCTGTTTTGTTAAAAATGTTGTCTGAAACTGCTTGAGATGGAAGAGTGGATGAAGGGGTTGGAAGATCATCTGGAAAAGAACCACTGAGACGTTTCTTCACACGTGGCATTGGGACTGGAAGACTTGAATATTGACGGTCTTCTGTTTGGAGAAAAATGTTGTCTGAATCTGCTTGAGATGGAGGGGTTGATGAAGGAGCTGGAAGATCATCTGGAAAAGAACCGCTGAGATGTTTTTTTGAACGTGGCATTGGGACTGGCAGACTTGAATCTTGATGGTCTTCTGTTTGAAGAACAATGTTATCGGGATCTGCTTCAGATAGAGGGGTGGATGAAGGAGAAGGAATATAATCTGTAAAAGATCCACTGAGACGTTTCTTCACACGTGGCATTGGGACTGGAAGATCAGTGCATTTGATTTGCATTTTCACTTCCAACACCTCAGGAACATTCAAATCCAGTTGTACCTGATCTTTCACATTCAATTGATCACCAGCTTGAGTCTTTCTTGTGTCTTCAGACTGAGACATATTAGTGATGACAGTAGACAGCGTGCTCTTTTCTTCAAACTCTCCACTGGCTTCATCACCTTTGCTGGTTTGAGCTTTACTCTTCCGCCTCTGAGGAGCACGTAATTGTTTGAATGTGTCTTTTTGAGGCATTAGGGGAACATTTTCTCCACTGTTGCTCTGACATGATGCTATCATTTCTTTGGGTGTTGGGTTCTCTTTGGGTTCTGGTGAACAAATCTCAATTTTGGATAATTTTACCACATTTTCAGGAAAAGAAGCACTTGTCAGTGGGACAGGTATATTCATCAAGCGATCTGTTTCTAAAGATGTACCATTATCTGTGGCAGCTGAAGTGAGTGCTCTACCTGGCTGTACATTATGTGATGTATTCTGAGAATAATAATCAGCTTGTTTTATGACACAGAAGTTGTCGCTCTGCGCAGTTGGCTCAGCTGGATTGGAAATTGATGTTGATAACGTAATTGTCTCTTGAAGAATGTCTTGCTTCTTAGTCCTTCTTGGTGGCACAAGTTCTTTTGAACATGAAATGGTCTGTTCTGTGACAGTTCTTGGGTTATGAGAATTTTTTAAAGACAGTAAGGACAAAGGTGGTTTCTCTTCATCCAGCAATTCGTCCTTAGTCCGTTGGATGAAAAGAGAGACTTCTTGGACAAAATGATGTTGTGGCCTTAAGAACAAAAATACAGTATCACAACATTTATTTTCTGTTGAGATAATGAATGCACTGACTGTCCCATGACACACTTATAAACCACAGTCAAACACCCTTTTAAGCAAGCAACTTTACCATTACATGAAATTCTGCCTTCAGAAATTGCACATACCTTTACAACATGCAACCAGTCACAGCAACTGCGGATTTGGTAATAAAAGTACAAAAGATCTCAGCTTACAATCTTAGCTGAACAAATAAATGTCTTTCAAGGTGAAGTGTGTAATTTCTTTGTTTTAAAATGATTTCTCTTCCCAGATTCATTTGCAAACACAATAGTAACAGCAGTACAACAGTAAGTAAAAACAGTGGCGTTTTCAAAATAGTTTCAGTCTGCTTAAGCATTTCAACTTCTGTTTTCTGCATTACAATACCATGGTTTGGGGGCGGGACAACCCATCTGGCCAAACAATGAAAGAAGCGGCTAAAATGAAAGTGCAGCAGGAGTGTTGCATATCTGGACACAATCAATATTTCTGCAATTCCATTTGGTGCCACTAGAGTCACTGAAAGTACACACTGCACCTTAGGGCAAAAGGCAAAATTAGACACATGGACATAAATATTTAGAGGGAAACACACACACACACACACAAAATAAAAGCCATTTCAGTGCAAAGTGTTTGCAAATGTGAGTTGGGAAACACAAAAAGAAAAGAAAAAAGAATATAGCCATGCTGCCATTTGCAGGACTTGCAGGCTGGGTTTGATTGCAACACTCCTGAGGAACTCACCCATCCTCTGGAAATTTTGTTGCTGACAGCTCATCCTTCAATATTTTACATTCTGTCACAATCTCATTACCAGCTTCCTCTTGAACAGAAGTTGTACAGTCCTGTATCGAAGAGTCAACATCTGTTTTGTCCTCCTCCTCTTTAGTTATCTCATGAAGGTCAGCATCCGTTAAAGGGGGCCACTTCCTAATTAGGCAGAATTCTTCATCTTCAACAAACCAGCTTTCATTCTCTTTTGATGACAGCGATGTTTCTGAACAACCACTAACCAAACGCCACATGTAGGATTCAGCAGAATCAAACACCTCAGACTCCGCTGCCTCTGCGAGTGCCTCCAATGAATGATCGCATCCAGTGGCCATGCGAGTGCTGCCGGTCTCGAGATCCACAGAGGATGAAAGACTATCGAGAGGATCTAAAGTGTCCGTGTCCATGACCGATTCAGAGATAGAGGGCTGCAATATTGCTGCAACTGTCTCATAACTAAACGACAGCAACAATTGAGTCGTGAAAAGTAAAAGAAAAAAATTAAAGTTTTCAGAACAATACACGGCAACATATGATATTAATGAAAATGAATTACTTTAACAAAAGAACACAGAGTATGGGTATGAGTAATTTTCTTAATTTCTCAGGATATTAAAGAATCTTACAAAACTAAAAAATGAAACAGATCTACATAGATTGTAAGATTGTTTTTCAAATAAAATCAACGCAAACATGCTCAGTGATTTCACCCAGTTATGTTATGTGATCTTACCCTCTGTGAAAAACATCAACTATAGTCTTAACAAGACCAGAAGATCCTTCTTTTTCAGTGGAAGTATCATCTGCCTCCAAAACTTCCCATCCTAACGCTACAGCAGTCTCTCCAGACTCTGCAGTATCATTACTTTTACTAGCAGACTGCTCCCCGACATGTTGCTCTTCCTCCTCATGGTTTTCAATACTGATCAAGGATAGTTCAATAGTCAACATGGTCTGTGATGCGATTCACATGCGCCATGCATATCTCTCATGGACATGCACCAAAAGTGTTTTTAGGCACAACGTAGAGTGGAATTATACGTTAGTGAAGAAAAAGTCAGATAATAATCAGGCAATAACAAATCATGTTGAGCCATGTTTTATTAGATAATTTTGAATTATACAATGGGTGTTGTCTTTACATGAACAGGCTTGCATAAAGCTCCCATTAAGCCTCAAAATGTCAGGAAATAATATAATAATATAAGATAATTACATAATATAATATATGTAAAATAACTAAAGCAAAATAATTGTGGACTCAATTAATGTGCAAAACAACTCAATGTCAAAACAATATATTGCACATGCAAGAAAAGAACACAAATTTATAGTTCTAAAAGTGTTTTCACACACACGCACTCAAAACATGCTATGTAACTCACCCTTCAGCCAAGAGAATCTCATGAAAACTTCCTATATCTTCAGAATTGTCTTTAAAAAACAAAGAAAGAAAAGAAAAAAATCTATACATTTCTGTGCATACATACTGCTCAATGTTCAAGCCACACTCTAAAAGTGGGTCTCTTACCAGGCCCTGTTATATCCAGTGTTTGATTTCTTTCTGATTCTATGTATTGGGTAAATGTGGCTTCAAATTCGGTGTGTTCTTGGGTTGGACTTGATGGAGAAATTGCATATGTAGAAGCATCTGGGAAATCAGGAAGCCTTGTTTCAACTGGGGAACATGGCACTTCAGTGAACAGGTTACTGAAATCTGTTTCATCGGTTGCAGAGAATGGAGCCTCTAGAGAAGCTGGGAAGACGGTTGTTTTTGTACACTCTTCTTTAAGTCTTTCTGAGCATGGAAACCCATAATTGCTGGCATTATTAGGGCAGGTAGGGGCAAGCAAGTACATGGTTTTTGAATATTCTTCATTATCCTTTGTATAACTTAAAGACAAAACCAGTCTTTCTTTAAGAGGTTTAACCCATATGGGCTTCTGAGTGGACCATATGCTTTCTTGAGACTCTTTTATGGGCACAGATTTTACTGTAGGAACACCTACAATAAAAGAAACCATTGGACAAGAGTGCAAAATGCTGACTACATCTGGTTCTTTATGGAGATAGAAACCCTCCACTTTAACCTGAGGTAGAGAGGGGAAACCAGGTATGCAAGCTTCTCTTGGGCAGGTGGGTACTAGTGCAAACATCCTCTGCAAAATATATTTGTCTATTTCTTCATACGGAGTTGTGAAATTAAACTGGACAAGCAGCTCTGATCTTGGTCTCAGCGACCTCTCAAACAGGGGCCTTTCATCTTCAAACCATGTTCCTGTGTTTATTCTGTCACTTGATGAGAATCCCATGATTCTTGAAGTCTTTGGAATGCACTGATGAAGATCAACCATACTGAGAGGAAGTGTAGCTTTGTGCTTAGGTGCATATGGGAATCCTGGTATTCTTGCCATTGGTGGACAGGTTGGAGCCAATGCAAACATTATTTTAGTTAATTCACTGAGCCAATCTACTCTGTCAATAAGAACAACAGGTTGCTTTTTAAAAGATACATTGTACAATGTTTCCTTTTCAACAGACCAATCTAAATGATCTCTTTTAGAAGAAAATCCTATAACATTAGACTTCTTCGGGCAAGTGTGAAGCATGCGTAGCATTATTGATTCGGGCACAGCTGGAAAACCTGGAACACAGACCACTGATGGACATGTAGGTGCCAAAGCAAACATTCTATGACTGTTTTCTTTGCATATCTTGTCCATGTCCAAAACAACAGGGGGTTTCTTTAATGGATTTGACCACAAAATGACTGTACTCAAAGGCCAATTGGACATCTTAGGGGTCTGGATGCTCGGACGACCAGCTATATGTGAAATCTTTGGGCAAGAGAGACAAATGTTTTGCACGTTTGGGTCCATCTGTGATTTACGATGTGGTCTAGATGGAAAGCCTGGAATACATGATGCTTTCGGGCATGTTGGTGCCAGAGCTATAATCTGGGAGTCTTTTTCATCTTTAATGGGGTCAAAAATACCAGTCGGTCTATCTTTCAATAAATTGCAAAAGATTATTGTTTGATCACCAATGCACTCCATGCCTTCATAGACCCTTAGAGAAGGACATCCAGGGATTCTAGAAAGCACTGGACAGGATGGAAGGAGCTCCAACATATTTGGCTCTGCTTGGGGTTCAGGGATAGAATCTGGCATTTGTGCAGCATTTTCTGATACAAAGGTCAACATCTCATTTGCAGGCTTGGAATCATCCCTCAGTTCTGACTCAGCAAATGTAGACTCTTGAAGACTTAATTTTTCACATGATTGAATAAGTATTTCTTCACTCTTTGGTGCAGATGTGAAATCAGGAACAAGTTTTGAAGATGGAACTGTGGCCACCATCATTACAGGCATCTCTGAATACTCAATTGAGCTTTCAATGTGTAAAATTGGCTTTGTTTTAGGATGTTCTTCCAATAATGATGTTTCCATGCTCAGCCACTCCTCATGATGCTTTTCCTCTGGAATTGGGGTCTGTGAAGAAGTGTCAACAACAATGGATATTTCTGGAAAAGACATACATGGGGCCTCTGTGGGTCTCTTAGCAGATGGAAAGCCGGGAATTCTTGTTTTATTTGGACATGTGCAAGACAGGGACACCATATTTGCCTCATAGGGGGATTTTTCCAAGTCTGGCATTAACAAAATATTTTTTGTTGATTTATGTGGCTCATCCCAAATTATACTCAAATCAGTAGGCCAGTTGATAATGTCTGTTTTGCCTATGCTAGACAGCGCTGTTGATGGACATCCAAAAACTCTCGAGAACGGTGGACATGATGGAAGAAGATCTACCATGTTTGGGACACACTCTTGTTGCACTCCTGTAGGCCGATCTTCAGCTGTTAAAAGGACCAGACTATTAGGATCTTCTGTAGTCTCTTCTTCTTTCTTAAAACCTTCAGCAAACTGTTCTGGTCTGTCTTGCGATGCCCATAATACACCTTCATCCATGTCATCGTTTTCAATCAGAGGGTCTCTGTAATTATCAGAAGGTGGAATCTGAGCACATATGCTTTGACATCTGAGAAAAATAAGCATATAATCCAATGTCAGATGTGAGGTTGTATGGCAATACAAGATGATCTGACTGCATGCATCATTCCGATCACACGCAGCCATTTAACTGATTCAATATACGTGATGCAGGGCTAAATTGTCTTTGTTACACCTCATATGCTGTGCCTAGTTTTCACACCATCATGCATTTATGATATTTAAGGCCTAGGTGACCCAAAAAAATTACAATTATGTCATCATTAACTTACCTTCATGTTATTCCAAACCTGTATGACTTTCAATGTATGGACAAAAAAACTGAAGTATTTTTCAAAATATTTTCGTTCGTGTTCAACAGAAGAAAGAAATGCATACAGGTTTGGAACAACATAAAGGTGAGTGAATGATGGCAAATTTTTCATTTTGGGTTGAAAAATGCCTTTAAGAGAGCAGAGGACATACAGTAAATGTTATATGTAGGCGGAAAAAATCTGATGCAGTTGCGGCAAGGCAAAGCAATAAATGAATACTCTCTATTTTATGTTTCCTTGCAAAACTCACCTCTCCTCAACAGTCAGTAATAGTGGCATGTCTGGTATGGAGTGCCACATTCTGCAATGCATTTTCCTAGAAACAATTGTCAAAGTATGTCATGCACTATCCACTGACCGCAGGATGTGCAAAACAAAATGCCTTTTGAGCAAAAAACACTCGGGCAAATCTGAACTTACCCCCTCTCCAGAATTCTCTTTTGTCCTTCCTCACATCTTGCCCAAAAGTTCACATTGTCCTTGGTCTCCTCTAATGTAAAACTATTGTCAGAATTGTTTGCACTGGACAGGTCTATCTCCGTTACTGCTGAACCAAGCACAGCTGAAGTTTCTTGTTTACGGCCAACACCTTCTGGTGACTTCCGGCTATTATTTGCATGATAAAGAATATGTGGAGATTCTGAATATGTGGATGGAAAGCCAGGGGCATTGGACTGCTTTGCACAGGCTGGCATAATCATAGCCATGTCTTCTATGTGAAAATTCAGATGGTCGTCATATGTTTGATTCAAGTTTATTAAGGAAGAACACACCATGTCGGACTCATCCTTTGAGGTCCTCTTGTACAGTTGCTTTGCATCCAGAGGCCATGCACTTGAATCTAATGCTTCATTTCCCAACTCAACAGATGGCATACCTAATACCTTTGTAAAATGTGGACAAGATGGCATGAGGGAGACCATATCTGGTGCTTTCTTCTCAGTTTTTTTTCTCTGAGCAGATGGGAAGCCAGGCAATTTAGCCCTGATTGCACAAGTGGGGCGCATAGCTACCATTTCCTTGATGTTATCCTTTATTTCTCTGTACTTAGTTGGAACAGCATGTATGGACTGACACTTTCTGATTAATTGTTTAACCCATAGTGGCATTTCATTTACAGGCCACTGTAATTTCTCTTCAGATATTATGCTTGATAGCATCCCAGGTACATTTGAGACTGTTGGGCAAGAATGGAAAAGATAAACCATTAATTTGGGTTTTGGTGCAGATGGAAAGCCAGGAACACTTGCTTTCACTGGACAACTTGGCAAAATAGAATACATTCCTTTAAAACTCTCTTTGTCCTGATGAGCAATGTTTAACTTGTCAGATGTGTACATTGGCGGACACCTCATACAAAAAGCTTTCTCCTTAAAGGGCCAATTATCTATGAAATCCTTATCAATTTCGCTTGGGACTAAAGAGGGAAAGCCTGGCGTTTTAGCTGTCCATGGGCATATTGATAGAGTACCAGACGTTATTTGTGTTTCAGGGATGAGCCACGGTGATGAAGGAAATCCAGGAGTCCTTGCTTTTCTCGGGCAAGATGGTACCAAGCTCACCATCCCTGTTAACTGGTCCTCTTTCAATATATTTACAACTTGAGGCAAACTGGACTGGTTCCTTTGTGCTATTATCACAGATGATTGATTGTTGGATGGCCACGGTTGGAAGACATTTTGACTGGCAAGTACTTTTGCAGATGGAAATCCAGCAATGCAGGAAACTTTTGGACAACATGGTGAAATCCTGACCATACTTGGTGCAGCTGGTTTTGGAGCAGATGGAAATCCTGGAGCCTTGGGTGCTGCTGAGCAAGATGACCTCAGTGCAACCATCTTTCTTGCCGTTTCAAAATCCACCTTTGTTAAGGACATTGGCGAAATCTGTTGCTTGATTTCCCTAAAATAAAATACTAAATTCTCTTTAGGCCAGGTTTCATCTGTGCAAATGATTGGAGATCTTGAAGGTAAACCTGGAACTACAGAGACATCTGGACATAATGGAAGGAGATTGACCATACAGAACAGCAAAGATGGGAATCCTGGGATGCTGGCAGTTCTTGGACAAGTTAACTGTAAGGACACCATATTTTCTACTGTGCTTTGGTTATACAATGAGCAATCCATATCTTCAATAAGTCTTTCTGGTTTCTCCTTTTGAATGTACTCTTTCAGTATCTTCACAGACTCGTCCCAAGGCCACTTTGTGTCTTGAAAGGTTATAGATGGCATCCCAGGTGCAAAAGCAGTTCTCGGACAGGCTGGAAGAAGATATATCATGTTGGGAACAGATGGAGAACTGTCGACATTGGGTTCTTCGCCTTCATGTGCTTTCTTGCAAACAGGGAGAGCACAGATGTCCTGGTTCATCCTAGGTAGTTGGTCTACAAAAAAGTCTCCTATTTGATTCTCAGTTATGTCGTCAGCTAATATTGATGGCGACCAAGGAGAATGGGACTCTTTTGGGCAAGAGGGCAGCAAAGCGGCCATGCTTTTGGTGCTGAGGGACAGGGACATTAGAACAGAGATCAGAGGGAGGATGTAAAATGGATTTATGAATAATAATAAGCAAATGGACCGCAACACATACAGTATATGCATTTTATATTAATATAGCGTAACAAGCTTTAAATGTAACACAGTAACTATATGCTGTCTTATAACGTGCATCATTCCCCACTTACCCTTCACCAGTGTGATCTGACTGGGACATTTCTGTATTTGAGAACAGCTGTGGAACAGATTCTGGGCTGGCCTTTTGCGCTTGTATTTCTGCTAGTTGAACGCTACTTCGAAAGGGCTCTGCCTTGTCTTTATGAGGAATCATCTCATCTTCTGTCTGCTCATGTCCAGCTGAGTGTAATATGGCCACCTCAGCAGAGCTCTGTGAATTCTTGGATTGATTGATCTGATCCTCAGTTAATGGGCCGGTGAATGTAGGGGCCACAGCAGGTTCTGGGACAGTTTCGAGGGCTGCGTGGGTGGATACTCTATCTGTATCAGACAGCTCTGATTTTGACACCTCAAAATGTGTGACACCAGTGACAGAAGGTGACTTCTGGTCACTGGGCAGCAGAGAGGTCATACTCTCTGGTCTAGGAAGAAAACACATCAGAACTGATGAAGAGTGCTGGGATTACACCAAGAACAAAAAAGATCTAAATTATATGGGATTGCATCACCTTGAAGCAATGTGAATTACCTTTCTCTGAAATTAATAAAGTGTTAATGAAACACCATGCTGATATTTAAAGTATTTTAAAGCAATTTAAAAAACAAAACAAAACAACTGTTTCATGCTAGCATTTGTATAAACATAAAAATGCTCATGTATAATTTTTTTTCCTTCCTTCATTCATTCATTGCAATGTGCCAATTGTTTCAACATACAAACTAATCCAAAAAAAACAAATTAAGTGACTTTAACACTGAATTTAAACTAAAGAATCCCAAAAGCCTCAAAATGTCAATAACTCTAAAAATTTAAATTCAAAACTCTTTTGTCGCTTTTGTCACCTTGTGGTCAGTTGCCTAACTTGACTAAATTTATATCATAACAATGTTAACTTTTGGTTTTAAAATAGGGTTAAAGTCCTCACAAATGTAAGTAATCATTAACATTTATGATCAACATTTATAATCACACCAAAACATTCAGTTTGATTCCACATAATACAATACAATACAATAAAAAATACATTAGGCTGTTACAGTTTCATCCAAGATTTCCAGAAAAGTCAAAGAGCCAAGAGTTCTGTGTTCACACCAAAGTCACCCATAGTAGTAAATGCAACACTCAAATATACCAGATATTAAAACCAAATTGTCAGTGCTTTGCTGGTGTCAACTAACACTTGTTCACTCCAATGCACTTGTTATTTACACCAACCAATCTGCAACACTCAGTTTTCTACATATTACTCACCCTTTTGCAGGCCGCAAAACTTCAAGTCCAAAAACAGGCTGTTGCTTGTCCATACTGCTGTTTGGTCTTTGGTTGGCTATACTGATGACTCCGGCTCTGCGAGGGTGGGGTTCATAGGTTTGATGAACATCTGTTGGCTTAACATCTTCATCCTCATCAGCTGTAGAAATATGCCCAAAGATCACACAAGAATTACTAATACGTCAAAGAAAACACTCAAATTTATATACAATGAAAGATTAGCTGTTAAAGCAGCTGTAGTGTATGCTTACCAGAAGACACTGTATTAGGACATTCCTCCTCTGCTAATACACTTAACTGTCTGTGTTGCTCTGAAATAGAAATGTATAACATGTCATAATAATATATCTATAACAACATATTAAGCACAAATGCAGCATTCTGGCATTCTGCTGAGGCATTATTATTATCAGATGCCATAAGCCTCATACTTGTTTGTTAAAGTACAAATCTCCTTGTAAGATCAGTATTTAATAAAATTCATGCAAATCATACAAGCTACATGTATGTATCTTATCAATCGCTCATCTGTTATGATATATCTAACATCATTCACTGGAAGAGAGTTTTTTTAAAGAAATTAATACTTTTATTCAACAAGAATACATCAAGTTGATCAAAAGTGATAATAAAGACATTTCTAATTTTACAAAACATTTCTATTTAAAATAAATGCTGATATTTTGAACTTTCTATTAGTCACTGTCTTACAAAAATATTCAGTAGCACAACTGTTTTCAACATTGAATATAATAAGAAATGTTTCTTGAGTGCCAAATCAGCAACAGTAGGATATATTATAACATGAACAGTTTGTTGTTACCAACTAGCTTTGTTCATGTGTCCTCCAGGGGGCGTAACAATGTAATTTAAGAAATGTGCAAATAATATGCTATCTGATTGTCACTGATAATCTCCATTTCTGTTTTCTTGTACAAAAGCTTGTCCCTATTGAAACTTCTGTGCGTTTGTGGAAAAAGTGACAATTCAAAACACTATAATAAAACATAAATATTGTTTAACGTAACGCTGCTTTAATGTTTAATAAAAAACACTGTAACAGTGAGTCAGAAATACTGACAGTTTAAACGGTTATATAGTTATGTTGGATGAAGTCAATCCACAGTGAAGAATGGAATGTTTGGCCTTCTGACTTTGTACTCTTATGCAAAAAAAGTTGGAGTGTAATCTAAAACAGATCTCACTAGCTCAAGACGTTTAAAATCTGTTCTCTGTTATCTACTCAACATACAACACACATATGTACAGCAATGACAGTACCAACACACACAGAGAATGAGAATGAAGCACAGATAAAGGTTCAGGCCAGCAATTGTACCTGTGAGTGAGTCAGTGGAAGGGACTGAAATGGAGGCAATAACAGGGGCAACAGTGGAAGTTTGGGTATAAATGTGGGGGTCAGGGATCATGGAAGAGGGTGAAGGAAGAATAAAAGGAGAGGAAGAGAAAGGAGAGGTAGGGGCATCTACAGGAAGAGGGGCTATTGGCCTGCGCACATTAGGTCTAACCACTGTGGGCACAACCTGATGTCTCCATTCATACGTCTGGACCTCTGGGAGAGGCTCTGAGGTTGACATTGACCAGATGAGAAAGGAAGATGACAGAAAAAGGAGAGAATGATTACAAAAGAAGAATGAAGGATGAGGAGATGAGTGCAAAGGGTTTAGGTTCACCCAAAAATGGCCATTCTTTTACTTTTATTCAGGCTCATATGGAAGTAAAATAATGACACATCTTTAAAACAAAACCTACTGGTGAAGCGAACTAACAGCAGATGGAGATTATGCATTGCTGCTATTCCTACAGTTACCGGATACGCAACGTCTCCACTGAATTTACAAATATGGAAGTGAATTCGTAAAGTAAAATAAAATTATTGAAAATTGTCTGTCGAAAATTATAGGAGGCTTTTTTGTATACTATTTTGGAAATTAACATGTGAATACTGATTGCTGAATTTTTTTTTTATAAAATTGCATGTGAAATTTTTCCATTTAAAATTTGTTCACAGGAATAGTTCATCTAAAAAAAATGCTCAAAATGTACTCACCCTCAGGGCATCCAAGACGTAGATGAGTTTGTTTCTTCATCAGAACAGATTTGGTGAAATTTAGCATTACGTGACTTGCTCACCAAAGGATTCTAGGAGTGAATGGGTGCCGTCAGAATGAGAGACCAAACAGTTGATAAAAACATCACAATAATCCACAAGTAATCCACACAACTCCAGTCCATCAATTAATGTCTTGTGAAGCAAAAAGTTGCATGCTTGTAAGAAACAAATCCATATTTAAGACATTTTAACTTTAAATCATTGTTTCTGGCTAAAATACCAGAAAGTCCATAATGCATAAAAACACTTTCTCAAGTGAAAAAGTGCATCCACTGCTGATCTGTGCATATTTCTCTCCTGAATCAATATTATGGATAGAGGACTCTCATTTTAGCCGTAAACAACAGTTTGAAGTTAGAATCATCTTAATGATGGATTTGTTTTTTGCAAACACAAAGATTTTTGCTTAACAATACGATAACTGATGGACTGGAGTCATGTGGATTGCTTATTATTGTGATGTTTTAATCAGCTGTTTGGACTCTCATTCTGACGGCACCCATTCACTGCCGAGGATCCACTGGTGAGGACGTGAAGTGTGGGGTCAAGTATGGTGTTCCATACTTGGAATTTGTGCTCTGCATTTAACCCATCCAAGTGCACATACACAGCAGTGAGTAGTGAACAAACACGAACACACACCCGGAGCAGTGGGCAGCCAATGCTGCGGCGCCTGGGGAGCAGTTGGGGGTTCGGTGCCTTGCTCAAGGGTCTCACCTCAGGCGTGGTATTGAAGATGGTGAGCAAGTGATGAAATGATAAATTTCCCCAAATCTGTTCCAATGAAGAAACAAACTCATCTACATCTTGGATGGCCTGAGGGTGAGAAAATATTCAACACATTTTTTGGGTGAACTATTCATTTAAAATGTATTTAATTTTATGAAATTACATTTATTTATTTAGTGCTTTATACAATACAGATTTCAAAGCAGCTTCACAATAATAATGTTCATCTTGTAAAATTATAAAATGAATTAAATTTTAGCTGTAAAGCTGTACAGAAGACAATAGTCTCATTATTCAGCTCAACTCAGTTCAGTGTCGCTTCAATTAAGTTCAATAAGTTGATGTTACAAAGTTAGAATTTAAAGATATTCACCCTTATTTTACTTCCAAAGGGTCTTTTCAAACGCCAAAAGGTTTGAAACATCATGAGAGTGAGTAAATAATTACAATTTAAATTTTTGGATGAACTTTAAAAGAAATGAGACATGGTTGATTCAGACAACGAGGATTAGAACTTTCACAGTATTCATGCTCCACCGAAATGGCATCCAAAACCCTTTGACAATGCAGATGATTTTTCATCTTAAACTCAAAAGATGAAATCTAATTTCTTTTCTAATTTCATTAGTTTAACACATGGGCAAACAGGTTTAGAAGAGTTATCCTAGAGTGTTTGTTCTCTACCTGACTCGGCAACAACAGGTGCATTGACCACAGGACTAACATCAGGAATGGAACTTAGAGGAGCATCAGAAACAGTGAGATGAGGAGATGACAGGAGAGTAGAAACACATGGATAAGGGGTGGACTGAGAACTAAAGGAAGCAGCAGGAACAATGGAGGGAGAAACCAGTGATGCTGCAGCAGGAGAAAGGATGGCAGCTGACAGGGTTTGAGAGCAAGAAGTAGAGACTGACTGAACGCTGGGCATCTCAGAGGAAGGAGCCACACTGGGAGATGTTACAGCAGGATTGAGAGTAATGGTAGAGGTGTCCATTGGTTGAGGAAGCACACGGGATGAAGACATTGCAGGAAGGGGGACATACATTAGAGGAGATGTTTGTGCAGGAGGAGAGGAGGTCACTGAGGCTGGATGATGCTGTTGGTTAATATGCTCCGCAGAGGTGAGGGGAGCAGGACACAGAGTAGGGTGCAGCTTGGGAGGCCTCCACTCTTTTTGCCAAGATGCTGGAGTTTACCATGGTAAATGATGACAGAGTGCATGTATAATAAGTACAGTGTTACAGGGGGAAGAAAAAAAAAGAAAAAAGATGTATGAATTAACATAGATTTGCAAATGATAACAATGTAAAAAAAATGTAAAAATTAAAAGTTTATGCCACAGTCATTTGCTACTTGCTATTGTTAATTGGAGGAAGGTGGTATTTATAATTTAGGGTAGGGGATATTGACATTCTAGAGAGTCAGCTATGTTTTGGTTCATCTTTCTATAACACACAGATTACTGTTGTTTTGAGCTTTCTATTCATAAAAGAATCCTGAAAAAAGTATCCCGATGTCCACAAACATATTAAGCAGCACAATGGTTTTCAACATTGATAATAATAAGAATGCTTCTTGAGCAGCAAATCAGTGTATTAGAATGATTTCCGAAGGATCATGTGACACTGAAGACTGGAGTAATGATGAGTAAATGCAGCCTTAGTAGACTTTAAAAAAAAAAAAAAAATTCTTACCAATGCCAAACTTTTATCTGGTAAAACTTGGTCAACTTTTAGGAGTACACAAGTATATAAATAGACTCAAAGCTAACAAACATGGACTAAAAGCTATAAAACTCTTTCATAGGGTCTTTCACAGTGACTTTACAACTCTTTATGACCTCCAAATCATTTTTAAAAAGCTGGGTACTGAACATGAAATATGTGGTTCAAATTAAACTTTAAAATCAAATGGCATCAGATTTAAAAATGAGTTAAAATATGAACATCAGCCCCATGTACCTGTCTCAGTGGCAGAGGGCATGCTCGTAGGTTTTGTAAGGGCGGAGCCTGGCTCAGTCAATGAGGCGCGATAGATTTTTGAGGGCCGTGGTGCAGGTACAGGCATTGGACCATGAGGGGAGGAGCCAAACTCAAAGGAGGAGGGGTCGAAATCACAAGGGGAGGAGTGTGAAGAGGGAAAACTGTGAGGTCTCCAGGTCCTGCTATGAGCAGCAGAATGGGTGGCTAAGTCGGGGGAGAAAACAAGACAGAAAAGAGAAGAATAGAAAAGACGACAGAATGGAAGGAAGGTGAAGCAGCAACAGTAAAGGTAAAAATGAAAAATGTGCAAATATCAAATAAGCAAAAATACATTACACAGATAATGCAAGTTACAATACAATTAATTATGAGCTATAGCAACTACCTTTTACTGATTTATGGGCAATACTCATTACCTTTCTGGGTTATATCAGGTAGAGGAGTCTGCTGAGGGGACAAGGAGGATTGAGCAGAGGATAGAGAGAAGGGTTTGCTAATCCCAGGAAGAAAAGAGGGAGGCCTCTGGTGAGGAACTGCACCGCCCTTAGCAGAGCGACTACTCTCCAATAACTCAGACCTAGCAAGACCTCCAGACGGCCTTTGAGTGACAGATACAGCAACTTAAAGGGAGAAGGAAAAATTATAGCATGATGAGAAATAGAATAGAATAGAAAGTAAAGCTACAGCTTTTTGTATATCGGTTGATGTGTGTGTTTAAAAGGAGGCAAAAACACTCATTAGATTGAGGTAAATAATGTTCATTAGATCAAGTTGTGACAGGGCAAGAATGGTAAAAGTCAGGGGCTGGATATATAGTTTGATGAACAAATTCACAGGGTGCTACACTATGTGGATCAGGCTGTTGCTTCCTTAAACATCAGCCTTAAAATTCCTGTTGTTTTTAATGGGCAGTTTTCCAAAAGTCAATTGAGATTCCTTTTAATGAATCTAGAAATGTAGTATATCTAAAAATGTTTCACACAATACCTCTGCAGACCTTGTTGCCAGAAACAATAGTTTCTAATTAATTTCTTGATTTGATCTCTTAAACTACATTTAAAAAAAATAGCTGTCTCAGAATTTCATGCAGATATTCAGCATGAATATAACAAATTCAGTTTAAAATAGTCAAAATGTGAAGTAGTTGCAAATGCAAGATATATAGTCAATTTATGAGATGCACTGATGCTCAAAAGTTTTTTTTTTTTTTTAAATGAATAATTTCATTTAGCAAGGGTATTATATTGATAAAAAGTGACGTGATATTTCAGAAATCATTATAATATGCTGATTTAGTGCTCATTCAACTTTTCTTATTATTATTATTATCATTATCATATAAATATTTTATTTATTAAAAGTAGATACATTTATAATGTTAAAAAAGATTTATTTTTATTTTTAAAAAATGCAGTTCTTTTAAACTTTCTATTCATCAAAGAAGCCTAAATCCTTAAATTTAGAATAATATAAAATATAATATAAAATAAAATGTTTCATAAGCAGCAAATCGGCATATTAGAATAATTTCTGAAATATCATGTGATACTGAAGACTGGAGTAATGGCTGCTGAAAATTCAGCATTGGAATAAATTACATTTTAAAACAGAAAACAGTTATCAGTTATTTGAAATTATAATAATGTTCCACAGTATTAAGGTTTTTTTAATCAAAAATAAATGCAGCCTGTGCGAGCATAACAGTCTTCTTTCAAAAAAAAAAAAAAACTTTTTTAGTAGTGCATGAATTTATTATTGTTTTAACTTTTAGACACCTTTAAAACACACCAAAACTTATTAAAAACATAAATGACAAAAACATGTACTGTAAGTAATACCACAGAAGAGTGAATTTGTGGATGATCTATGAGGTATGGACATGTACACAGTGCAGCGGATGGAGACAAGCACAACTCTGTGGTGATCTGCTGCATTGCACCGGGTGGATGAGTGTTTGTACCTGAGCCGGTCGGCGGCTGGAAGATTTTGGGCAGGGCAGGTGGATGCGCACGTGTAAATGCAGGTACAGTGAAGGCGTACGGGGAGGGGCGTGTCTGCGGGACACTGCCAGCAGCACGGGGGGGTTGGATACAGGAAGTGGAGAGGGGCGGGGCAGAAGGGTCAAGAGCGCTGTATGACAGGGGGCGGTACTGGAGAGGAACATTAGGCGTAATGAAGGAACAGCTCATCCGCTCCGGTTCAGAATGAGCTGAGAGAAATGATGATGATTATGGAGAAGGACAGACAAAAACAGAGGAAGTTAAGAGTTGAGAGGTACCAGACAACAAATGCAGAGAGACAAAGAGGAACTCAAATGAGCAGGGAATGATTCAGAAGAGAAGAAAATGAGTGACACCAGGAAGAGATGCAGATCTCAGATAAGAGTGTGAAGAGGGAAAACTGTGAGGTCTCCAGGTCCTGCTATGAGCAGCAGAATGGGTGGCTAAGTCGGGGGAGAAAACAAGACAGAAAAGAGAAGAATAGAAAAGACGACAGAATGGAAGGAAGGTGAAGCAGCAACAGTAAAGGTAAAAATGAAAAATGTGCAAATATCAAATAAGCAAAAATACATTACACAGATAATGCAAGTTACAATACAATTAATTATGAGCTATAGCAACTACCTTTTACTGATTTATGGGAAATACTCATTACCTTTCTGGGTTATATCAGGTAGAGGAGTCTGCTGAGGGGACAAGGAGGATTGAGCAGAGGATAGAGAGAAGGGTTTGCTAATCCCAGGAAGAAAAGAGGGAGGCCTCTGGTGAGGAACTGCACCGCCCTTAGCAGAGCGACTACTCTCCAATAACTCAGACCTAGCAAGAGCTCCAGACGGCCTTTGAGTGACAGATACAGCAACTTAAAGGGAGAAGGAAAAATTATAGCATGATGAGAAATAGAATAGAATAGAAAGTAAAGCTACAGCTTTTTGTATATCTGTTGATGTGTGTGTTTAAAAGGAGGCAAAAACACTCATTAGATTGAGGTAAATAATGTTCATTAGATCAAGTTGTGACAGGGCAAGAATGGTAAAAGTCAGGGGCTGGATATATAGTTTGATGAACAAATTCACAGGGGGCTACACTATGTGGATCAGGCTGTTTCACAGGGTGCTACACTATGTGGATCAGGCTGTTGCTTCCTTAAACATCAGCCTTAAAATTCCTGTTGTTTTTAATGGGCAGTTTTCCAAAAGTCAATTGAGATTCCTTTTAATGAATCTAGAAATGTAGTATATCTAAAAATGTTTCACACAATACCTCTGCAGACCTTGTTGCCAGAAACAATAGTTTCTAATTAATTTCTTGATTTGATCTCTTAAACTACATTTAAAAAAAATAGCTGTCTCAGAATTTCATGCAGATATTCAGCATGAATATAACAAATTCAGTTTAAAATAGTCAAAATGTGAAGTAGTTGCAAATGCAAGATATATAGTCAATTTATGAGATGCACTGATGCTCATATATAGTCAAATTTTGAGATGCACTGATGCTCAAAAATTTTTTTTTTTTTTTTAAATGAATAATTTCATTTAGCAAGGGTATTATATTGATAAAAAGTGACGTGATATTTCAGAAATCATTATAATATGCTGATTTAGTGCTCATTCAACTTTTCTTATTATTATTATTATCATTATCATATAAATATTTTATTTATTAAAAGTAGATACATTTATAATGTTAAAAAAGATTTATTTGTATTTTTAAAAAATGCAGTTCTTTTAAACTTTCTATTCATCAAAGAAGCCTAAATCCTTAAATTTAGAATAATATAAAATATAATATAAAATAAAATGTTTCATAAGCAGCAAATCGGCATATTAGAATAATTTCTGAAATATCATGTGATACTGAAGACTGGAGTAATGGCTGCTGAAAATTCAGCATTGGAATAAATTACATTTTAAAACAGAAAACAGTTATCAGTTATTTGAAATTATAATAATGTTCCACAGTATTAAGGTTTTTTTAATCAAAAATAAATGCAGCCTGTGCGAGCATAACAGTCTTCTTTCAAAAAAAAAAAAAAACTTTTTTAGTAGTGCATGAATTTATTATTGTTTTAACTTTTAGACACCTTTAAAACACACCAAAACTTATTAAAAACATAAATGACAAAAACATGTACTGTAAGTAATACCACAGAAGAGTGAATTTGTGGATGATCTATGAGGTATGGACATGTACACAGTGCAGCGGATGGAGACAAGCACAACTCTGTGGTGATCTGCTGCATTGCACCGGGTGGATGAGTGTTTGTACCTGAGCCGGTCGGCGGCTGGAAGATTTTGGGCAGGGCAGGTGGATGCGCACGTGTAAATGCAGGTACAGTGAAGGCGTACGGGGAGGGGCGTGTCTGCGGGACACTGCCAGCAGCACGGGGGGGTTGGATACAGGAAGTGGAGAGGGGCGGGGCAGAAGGGTCAAGAGCGCTGTATGACAGGGGGCGGTACTGGAGAGGAACATTAGGCGTAATGAAGGAACAGCTCATCCGCTCCGGTTCAGAATGAGCTGAGAGAAATGATGATGATTATGGAGAAGGACAGACAAAAACAGAGGAAGTTAAGAGTTGAGAGGTACCAGACAACAAATGCAGAGAGACAAAGAGGAACTCAAATGAGCAGGGAATGATTCAGAAGAGAAGAAAATGAGTGACACCAGGAAGAGATGCAGATCTCAGATAA